CAAGCATGGGTGGGACCAGGAACCCAATGGCAACACCCAACTGCAGAAAATAAAAAAAAAAAAGAAAATGAAAATACCTTTTACAAGCAGACGTCAAATACATTACAAAACCAGTAGAATGTGCATGTATAGATCTATTTAAAATTCACATTTTTCCTCCGTTTCCTGGTTTCATTGAGCATTCAAAGCAACCAGAAGAGTTGATTCTATTTGACATTTTCATATGTGGGGGGGGAATGTATTAAGATTGATTTTGTGAAAAATGTCCAGAATGTCTGCAGGAATTAAAACGCACAATAAAACCTGGAAGCACAAGATTCAAGGACAGAGGGCAAAGCAAGTGAACATTAACAAAAATGGGTCTTTTTATTGTTACTAAAGGCCTAAACCACAAAACAACCAGAATGTTTGTCCAACACAGGTGAAAGAAGACGCTGAAATAAAAAAAATAAAAAAAATTCACACTTGACAATAGATTTGAGGAGTCTTTTTCACATAGTAAAAACTTCTGAAGTTGTTCGATCAGAAATCTGTCATATGCAAAACTTTTCAAAGACCCATTTTATGTCTTGCAGATAAAAAAAACTGATAAGCTTTCAGGAAAAATACAAAAATGATTCTCTACCTCCACAGTGAGGTATGCAGCTCGCTATGTGGACATGTCCTGAATGAAATTTCAATTTCTGCTTATTTTTCCCAAATTTTTAATGCATGTTGAGGAGCAGACTCTAAGTGGAAAACAAACATCATCAGCCATTTGTGTTGTCAAAAGAAACACACAGCCTAATACTGCAAGTATTTCTCTATACAATAGAGCGCTATTGCGTAGGTACACAATTCTGCAGTGGTTTTAACCTCCTTGTCAACATTAACAAGTGGAAGTAGAATGAATTATGAACATAAATATCCAGATTTATTTTTTGCTAAATTATTAATTTCCGCATATCTAAAGTTATGTGAATGGTAGATCCATTGTATATTTATTTATTTATTTGTTTTGCTTTCCTTGTCAGTCAGCCTCCTGCAGTGATTAACAAGCAGAAGCAGCTGCTGGGGCTGATCTGATTGTTCGGTGAAGGAGTGAAAAGGTTTTTGTACCACAAATTAACATCTAATTTGTGGTACAAAATCTCCAAGTCAACTCGGAGATTATTTTTTGTTGTTTTTATAATTAAAAGAAACCCCATTGAAATCAGAAAAGTCTCCGCGAGTGCTTTTTATTTTTTCTTTGAGTGAGTCGAAAACCTACTCCTGGAAGACTACTCTGGCATTTTTGTTGTTTGGACTTTATTATGATGCAAGAGTGGCCATAACAATTATTTCAAGACTAAAAAAATAATAATAATAATAATGCGGGTTGCATACAGAAAGTGTGAACATCCTTAATCAATTTTACACCTCCCATTAGAGAATTTTATTAATCTGCAAAGATGTCTGAAATGTCCATGTTAAATATTCCTGATTTTTCTAGATTTAACTGGCATTTCAAAAGATCGGCGTATCAGTCAGCAGAAGGGCACAAAGCACAAGACAGAGAGACAGTAAATGGAGAAAATATGGGACTACGAAAAGCTGAATGTTCCTCAAATGATTAAGACAAGAAAACAGGTCAGGCAGCCAAAAACTCAACAACAAAGCTGCAGAAATTCATGGTCACATTCTTCACATGATAATAGAAGTCTGCTCTTTTAAAGAAAACATTCAGGCCTGGCTACATTGTAGGACATGTTGCTGTCTGAGAAATGTGCCACAGCAGAAAAAAAAAATACTGGAAATGACTGCATGAACATAGTAAACCATGACAGGAGCAGCATCATAGTTTAGGGTTGCTTTTTTTTTTTTTTTTCAAAAGGCAGTAAAGTTTTTTGTTGGGGTTAATAAAATAAACTGGTTCAACTCAAAACGTTGAGTGTTTAAAACTAAAACAACAGTTATCCAGCATTACAGTTAATGAAAAAAGTTGAAATTTTAGATTTTTTTAAACCCAGTCATAGGTTTACTTTAAACAGTTCCCCCTTTTGCCCATGTTACCCCATCAACTTACTCACCTGATTCCCAAACACTCCAATGGAGCAGGCGGTGGAAACCTCATTTGCTCCGAACCAGACTGAGGCCAGGTTGGAGGGGATCCCGAGGATAAAGACCTGAGCCAGAGCGCTGGCAGACTGTCCGAGCAGGGTCACCCAGAACAGGTCGGGTCGTGCGCTGGCCACCTTTATCCACGTCCCTGCGCAGTTGAGCGCGTTGGCCACCAGCGCAGTGCAGCGCAGTCCATACTTCTCCAGCAGCCAGGTGACCGGGAATATGAAGGGGATGTACGCGAGCATGTAGATCATGGACAGCCAGTCTACAACGAAGCCGTCCACGTTGTAGAACTTCATGATGATGTTGCTGATGATCCCGTACTGGATCCATTGGTAAGCGTTGCTCAGGGAATAAGCGCTGAACAGGAACACAATCACCCAGCGCCTCTTGTAGAGGTGCGTCGGGAGCGCCGAGCCGCGCTCCCCGTTTGGGATGTCAGCCTGGATCTGAACATCTTTACCCAAATCCGGACTAATCTCCTTGGTGTCCTGGTCGCCTTTCATGTTCTCCCGTATAGAATGACACTCAATGCAAAACACCGATGAAATGAAGGAACTTTAAATGGAAACAAAACTGGTATCGCTTTCGAGACATCACGTGATTCTGCCCAAAAAAAAAAAAAATTAAAATGTTCCAACAAAACCAGGAAGTTCTGTGGCCACATCAGCAAAAGGGGAATTGATCAGAAGTCAGGTTGTTTGCACGGGACCGACCTGCCGACCCAGCAGTGGAATCAATACTGAGGATTTTCTCAGAAAATCCATTTCACTCCTCCCAGCTGCTGAGATAAGGAGGACAATGAAACAGAGAGCCACGCAGTGTCATGCTTTGTTTTTGTTAAGTCTTTCATTTTGGTTTCTGCCCTTTAGTGTTAATTTTATTTACATATTCTTAAAATTAGTATATTTCCCAAAGTTTTCTGTTCCCCTGACAGCTGTCGCCAGTCAGTCAATTAGATTCACCTGGTTTCCATCTCATTTCCTCTCATGTGCTTACTGGTTTCTTCAGATCTGTTAGATTTTCCACCACAGTTGGTTTGTGTTTATGAGCTTATTCAACCCTGAAACTCCCCCCTCCCCCCCATCATCCTGTCTGTATATTGGTTTCATAAAAAAATTTATTTAGATAAATCTCAAAACATTTATCCACATGGTTTTAAAATGTGTAAACAGTGTGTTAAATACACAATTTAGTAATTTAAAGTGAAATATTAATTTTCATATACAGTAAAATCCCATATTAAGGATCACAATGAACCCAATCGTTTTCTAATATACTGTTTAATTATATTTAAATATCTATGGTAAAAATTTATTTTTAATAAAAGACTTGTCTCATTTTATTTCTTTTCAAAATAAAAATGATTTATTGCACATGTTTATAATTTTATTTGCAAGCATATTTATTTTAAGAATTGTTTTAAAGACTTTTTAAAATTGGATTATGGCACTTTTGTCTTTCTGTACTTTGGTTGAACTTGTCCTTACACTTTCTGACATGCAAACTCACTCTTTTGCAAACACTACTAATTAGCAGTCAACCACAATTGTGTTCACTGAAGTTCCTCTACATACTGTTCCTACAAACCAGAAGTATCTTTTTGTTCTTTTTGACTCAGTTAATCTACTTGTTCAGTTTAATCCCCACTGCTGTAAACAATGAGCGCCTTGTTATTGGGCTTACCAATAGTCTGCAAAAAGGTGACTGCCGACTACGAGCTTTAGAACAGTCCTTCAACTAAAATATATTACATACATCATATGTCACCAGTGATGGCATAGCTACCTTGAAAAAATAACTTTAATCAGATGACTAAAAAGTTAATTACTGACTACTTGATTTGGAAAGGAGCTAAGTTAGATTAAAAGTAACTTTTTTAGCTACTTTCAGCAGCTGTTGACAATAATGTTTCACCAGTTGTGAAAATTATATTGAGCTTTGCCAATACTTAATTGCAAGTTATTGTATGATGGTAACATCAACTATCTGTGCCGTCACTCGACACGTAGAGGAAATAAAATTACATTACAAAAGAACATAGTAACGCACAGCAACTTTAATCTGATTACTGGATTTGAAGTAGTAACCCGTTAGATTACTCGTTTCTGAAAATCGTGGTCTGACGTCAGTGACGCGTTACTGACATCACTGATTTCCACAGGTTGGCAGTATTCAACTTGAAGTTTGGCGAGGTAAAAATACCAGAAAAAACGGAAGAAGAAAAAGGAACGAAACATTTAATTTCTTCAGGAAATATAAAATTGTATTTTCAGATAGCTTATATGCTTATATAACAACATATACAAAAGTAAATATTTATCTATATAAAAAACATAACTGGCTGTAATAATATGAAAACAGTAAATAAAATACAATGTAAACACTGTCTGTGTGTGTGTGTGTGTGTGTGTATATATATATATATTTATATATGTGCATACATGACGCCTGCGCCAAAACAATAAAAAAGAGGTTTGGTTGTTCTACAAATAGAAAAGAAGCATAAGGACCAGAAAAAAATGTGCTATTTTGTATTCAGATTTATAACTAGTCAATACTAATTTTTTTTATCATATACTTGTAATTTAATCAATATGTAATGGTTGCATACATGTAGCTATGCATCACAGTAGTTATCTTGTATCTATTTAAACGTTTCTTTTAACTTTGTAGATTTTCCTCAATCTAGTGAGATCAAAGATAATCCATGTAAGATTTCTCACATAAACATCAAAACAGTTCATTTCAATTGTTCTGTACTAAAATTGTGTTGAAAAAACATTTGTGCAGACTCTTGCCATATATAAAGTTAGACGTCAGAGCAAATTATTAAAATACTGAGTTGAAATGAAGCAATTTTTTTGCATAATGGAATTTTTTTTTTCCATTTTCTTCATTTTAAATGTTATAAAATGTAAAGCTATTGTAAAACAGCCAACTAATTGCATAACAGGTAACTTTCCTCAAGAGCTGCATTCCATTTTCTTTGCTATATGTCATAAAGACCTGGCTGATGCAGAAGTGTTTTGTTTTGTTTTTTTTAAATGAAAAGGGAAATGAGGAGACCGATCTGCTGAATCCGTCCCACTGGATCTGCTCTTTGCGGAGCATCGCTCTGCGTGTCAGAGGCAGCGCCTGAACAGAAGTGCTGTTAGTTGGCTGCTTCTCCTCGAATGTAAACGACAGGAAAGTCCCTGTTTGTTCACTTGGCCTCCAGCTGCTGCAGCAGGGGGTTCGCCTCGCTCTCTGGGGTTTTGACGCTGTCTGTCCTGACGATGCATGTGGGGCGGTGCCGGTTGAGCATGAGGATGAGCTGCTGGCGCTCCAGTTTCAGCTCCTCAATCTGGGCTTTAAGGTCAGAGTTTAGCATCTCTAATCGCTCTGACTCCTGGAAGGCCAAAGAGAAGAATGTTACTTTACATTGAGCAAAAATTTAATGGCTAAAACTGTAGAATAGTGCCGTAAACAAGTCTCACCTTTTGTAGATAGTCTGTTCTCTCTTTCTTTTTGTTTCGACATCGAGCTGCAGCCACTTTGTTTTTCTCTCGCCTTCGTTTCCTCCTTTCTTCCTCTTCATCTCTCTGTGGAACAACACAGGAAAAGAACACAAGACTGCAATTCAAATTATTTATCAAACCAGCAATTCTACAATAGTGCAGAAAGTTAATGTCATTCACAACTCCTAATTCTGTTTGCCGATTGGCGCAGTTGAAATTCAACTGAAGAAATGGGGGAGAAATTTCAGATGACGTACTGAGGGAAGATGAAAATCAAGCAAAACTGCATAGGAAGGCAATGTCCAGGGTGGCAAACCAACATTAAAAAGAAATACGCCTTATAATATAAAGTTGTGCAAATGGTCTAATTCCTTGCACACTCAATAATTTTGGATTTACAATTTTTAGCTTAAACCAATAAGATTTGAAATGAACATCTCTGGATAATAAAAAGCTTGCATAGTTTCAATATTGTGCTATTTTCTGTGCTGTTCAATTGACACAAAGAGTTTTTTGCAAACCATTTATTTTATTGGCCATGTTCTGATACATCCACCAGATGCCACTATAGAGTAAGACATAATGAACAGAGCCTGCCCTGGATGGACTGGTGGTCTGTCCAACACCTAACCCACCACTGGCCAAATGATCGCTGCAGAAAGGCATCCATCCATCCTACCATCATTTTTGTAGAAATTTATGTGACTGACCAACACAAAGTAGTGCAAAATACTTGAGATTTCACCTTCCAACAGAAGAATTCCAAAAATGCAATCATAAACATACAGACTGATTTAGAGCACACCACATTCACACTTCAGAATGTCCCAGTCAAAGTCCATGTTGGCAAGACTTGAACATGTATATTTACAGATGCTTTCCCTTCAATCTGACTGAGCTTGAGCTGTTTTGTAAGGAAAAAAAAGGAGAAAAACTTCCTTCTCTACATGAGTAAAGCTTGTTGAGGCACATCCCAAAAGACTTGCACCTGTAATTGCAGCAAAAAGTGGATCTACAAAGTACTGACACAAAAAAGGGCCTTTTTTCACTGAGGTCTGTGGTTGTAAACTGACCAAAAAATAGAGAGTGCTGAATACTTTAACAGCACACTCTACAGAAAATAGCAGCTAAGCTCCACTTTAAGTTAATTTGTGCTGTTTTGCCCTGGAATTTTATCGAGTCAAATAGCCTTCAAGTTTAGCTGGTGAGCAACTTAAGCTACACTTTTTGTCACTCCGTTACGTAAAATCCTAACTAAACACACCAGGATTTGTGGTTTCTATCGTAAAAACGTGGACAAGTGCCATATTTTATTTTTTTAAGTAACTGCATGAAATTTTTTATGATGCGTCTTTTTATTTCGTGGTGCTTTCAGTGGTTGAAATTAGTACAAACACGTCAGAAAATTTAAAAAGGCAAAAGTCTCTCAGATTGTCCTGCACCTCAGTTTTGATGACTACAGGCCTCTTTCCCAGAGTGTCCAGGAAAAGCAGGGGTGACAACATTGTTCCGATGTCGTGGAGATCGCCAAACCTCAGCTTGTCCGTCAGCGTGGTGGCGGAGATCCCAGCCAGCGGGCCCAGGCTGGGCAGGGAGCCCGCTGTCACAGAGGGATCTGGGATTTGTCCCGGCATTGCGTCAGGCTCGGCCTTGACCACAGCTACGGGAGGCAAAGGAGGAAGATGGGAGAAGCGATCAGATGCAAGCAAAAATTTAAAAAATAAATAAAATGCTGGTATTTTTACAGCTGCATGAGAGCAGAAAACCAAGATATTTTTTAACAATAAAAGCGGACACTAACAAGGCATTAAATTGCATTAAGTCATACTTTAATCCGTAATACATTTGGATAAGAACTGTATCATGTTTAATACCTTTAAACACCATTAAACATTCCATTGAATTATACTTTCTTCATAAGATTTTATTCTTCCACAAAGAACTCATGTTTACTGTTGGTGAACAGAACATTAAAGCTGCTCAACAGTTTTATGATGCATTTTATATTTCCAGTAAACAACCCCCATGCAGATATTTTATAACCACACTGTTATAAAATATCATTCATTATCCTACAAAATGATTTCAGATCTTGTTATGCTTGTCTGAAAGTCTGGTATACACCAGAGAAACCTCATAAATGTAGAAGATAACAACGTCACGGATACTTACTCAGCTTTATACCGTCACAGATCATGGTTTTGGTTTTAATACTTCCAAAACCTTAAATGAACCCTCTTGATTTTCTCATTACAAAAACCGGCATTGTTTTTTTTTTCAGGAGGGAGTTGAAATGTGGCATCATGTATTCAGAAGACATGCAGCGAAAAGCCAGCAGCGGAGGTATGAATTATTTTCCTCATTTTGTGCCTTTGAAGATGCATTTCCACTGCTAAATTTTGGCATATAACAAACAATATGAATTGTTTAGGCAACAGATATTAAGTACACAAGATACAAATTTACAACAGGCTTCATTAACTCCAAATCGGATTTTTGTCCTTTTCAAACAACAAACCGTGTCCAAGTAGAAAATGTCAAATTCTTGAAAATGAAGCTAAAATGCGTTTAATTTGAACAGTCTGTCTAACAGCTTTGAGAAAATTGCATTCTAGGCTGCCTGACTCACCTCTCAGTGATGAATAACTAGTCTGTTAGAGAAGCAGGATGCTGAGGCTGCTGCTCAGTTATTATTATTTCCCTGATTTTGGGGATTGGAGGGGGGTGGGGGGATTAATGTACAACCATTCACAAGATCTCAGCAAAAAGTTGCCTTATTTAATCCCAAGAGATGAAAAGAAGAATGAACAACTGGTGTAAAACCAGACTCAAACAAATTTCTCCTTATTCCAACGAGAGCTGAAGAGAAGCCAAGAAATACCAGTTAACTGTGGTTTCCTCTTTATGAGACTTAATGTAAGCAGAGAGGAATGTGGCTGCCTGAGACGAGCACAATGTGGTTAAAACGAACTAAAATGATATGCTGTGTTTAAAAAGAAGAAGGTGGCAATCTCACTGGTGTTTGAGTTGTGCACTGAAAACAGGTTTTCTTGTTAGTGGTGGCAAAAAAAAAAAATGCAGCAGTGAAAAGTTAAATAGGTGTTTAAATGTTCAAGAACATGAAACCGAGCTGCTTGAGCAGAGTGAGCAAAACCAGGCAAAAACACACAGGAAATTAGCACAACCTCAGCGGATTTCCAAGATACACGTCAACGTCAAAATAATAAAAAAGAATAAAATAAAAAAATAAATGGTTGAAGTCAGTTTACACAGAGATCTAATCCCACAATGCAGGATAAACTGGCAATGTCAGGGAACCAGTGACACACCTGACTGTAAGGACAGGGATGAAGAAGGTCACCATCCACCCACTCTCTTCCGTTTAATTCAGAAGCTTAGGAGTGAAGACGGTCTATCCGTCTTAATTGGCCAGCTCAGAAATCTAAGCATGCAGTCAGGTCTTCAACAGTCCTGCTAATCTTGAAATGAATTGACTCGGATGTGTCGAAGCAGCAGACACATTAGAAAGTCGCAGAACATCAGCCCTCCAAATGCATAACTGTCAAGTGGAAAGAAAACAATGCATGATTTTCAAATGGTTTTACAAATAAAAATCTGAAAAATGAGATATGCGTTTGTTTTGAGACCTTCTGGTTCTGCTGAAACAGGTTTCCTTCTAGAATCAAGGTAATGCTCAGTCCGTGTTAGTGTTTTACATGTAGATCAAAAAAATATAAATAACTAAATTACTGAATGATTTTTTTTAACAGGTCAATGCTACATTGTTTACACTGGAATGTATGTTGTACACAAACTTTTCCTGATCTGTCCCAGTGAAATGCACAGAACTTTGTGGCTGTAATGTGAAAAAGTTAAAGATGCATAATTTGTTTCTGCAAAGCACAATTTATCTGAAGGTCTGTGAAGACACATTGTGTGTCACTTGTGCATCATAGATGGAAATATACAACTTTCATTTCACCACTTCCCCTAAGAACAGACCAAAAGAGAAAGTAGAACTGTGCTGGACATTTTTGCTTAAAACCACACACTCCTCCCAAAGCATGCAAAAGGTCAAAGGTAGAAACCTTTTAATAAAAGTTACCAGTGATTTGAGGTGAAACCACATGCAGATCTTTTCAAATGGTTTACTCTGCTGGATGCGGGCAGCGTTGTTTTAGCATCCTTCATTAAGACTATTCCTTTAAAAAAATAAATAAAAATCAAAGGCAGTTATTCACATTTCAGGTTGCTTTAAGCTGTTCTTTTTCCTGGGAAAGCCCCATCTTATTCCACGCTTTGCCTTAAAAATGTGTAGTCACCTCCTGGAAGATCACATTGCATGCATACCGCGCTGCTGAATTGGTCAACTTGAAAGCGGAAGTCCCTTTTTTCAGCTCTGGCGTTCATCTTATGTAACTTTGTCTTTCTATCAAACACCTACAAATTACCTGCTGCAGCGTTTTTTTAGTGCAGGATGGCAACAGATCAAATGTATTTTAAGCATCACTGCGTGGCATTAATGAGAACATTCTGTTCTGGATTGCTGCACGCTGGGATTCAAGTAAAAAAACAGCATGCAAAGCGAAAAAGAAAAAGAGAGACAAAGATCTGCAAGGAGTCGGGTCTACTTTGAACGCCGCAATTCGGGGAAAGCACAAAAGCCGCTGAATAACCAAGAACATCAGAGCTGCTGGCTGTCGGTGCAACCAATCCGCGGCGCGCCAACCAGCAGCGGCTCAGCGTGCGCAGGGAAACATCCAGCTCTCCTTCTTTTTTATTTAAAGGAAGTTTTCTTTTACCGACCTGACTTTGATCCCAGGTGCAACAAATGTCCTCTCTTCTGGTCGGCCGAGGGTCGGGAGTAGATTTTAAAAAGTGGAAATCGTTGCATCAGCCCGACTTTAAACGTGATCCCAATCTGGGAGGATTTGGGAATGCGGAAATTAAGCGATGCCAGGCAAACGTAAGCAGGGATGTTAAAAAAAAAAAGTAGACATAGTGCAGAGGGGGGGTTCGGAGGAGGGGGACTGGAAGAGGGGAAGTAACAACCGCTCCTCCCATGAAGAAACTGAAGCTGCACTACTGTTTTTACGGCGAAACCATTGCAGCAATAACCCATCTTCCCAGGCTACACTGCCTCGAAGTCAAGACGTTCACTCCCTGCTTTTCAAGATTTCGTTATTGTTGCTCCCTGAAACTTGAGTATTTTAAGTAGATTTTATGTTATAAAACATATTTGCTATCACTAGTTAAACCAGTTGGATTAGATCTCAAGTTTTGAACACCTTGTGGCGCTGCAGTAGACAATGTGGCTTTCTGCTCAGGGTGGCACACCACATGGGGGAGCAACAAGACAAAACTAAGAATCTGTTTTTGCCCATGTAAAAGGGGCTCTATTGTTTACAAGTGTAAAATGAAGCCATTTTGGAGAACCCCCCCCCCAACCCCCCATCTTTTCCAAAATTCAGCAATTTACTTATCTTTTTGTAGAATGTTAGTCCAAATTATTTGTGGACAAGTTGTTTTTTTGCTGTGTTTTTACATAAAATATTTTTTTTAAAAGCAGCTTGGGAATATACCAAAGCACAATGACACTTACTGCTGGTTGGAGTTCACAAAGCACCCAATCCAGGAGAGCCGTTTATTTTCCTCAGCATTGATTTTCTGTACCTCCAAGAGCAGAAGACGGGAGACGTTTCTGTGGTTCTACTGGACTTACGTCTAAGTCAGGAGCTGAGCCAAGTTGGTACCGGCATACCCTCCAGATTTGTAGCTGCACCTTTATCCAAAATATTGAGATAAAAAGTAAAACCAAGATAAAAAATTTAAATAAATTATCATGCCCAACTGTTTTCTGCAGAAGATGTAAGATCTGATGATTTCTTGCCCTTCTCATACTCAACTTCCATCCACCCATCCATTTTCTTTACACCCTTGTCCCTTAGTGGGGTCAGGAGAGTTGCTGGTGCCCATCTCCAGCTAATGTTCCGGGTGAGAGGTGGGGTACACCCTGGACAGGTCACCAGTCTGTCGCAGGGCAACACAGAGACACACAACCATGCACACACTCACACCTAGGGGCAATTTGGAGAGTCATGTTTTTGGACTGTGGGAGGAAACCAGAGTACCTGGAGAAAACCACGCATGAACAGGGAGAACATGCAAACTCCATGCAGAAAGACCGGGGCCGGGAATCGAACCCAGAACATTCTTGCTGCAAGGCAACAGCTCTACCAACTGTGCGACTGTGCAACCCCTCATACTCAACTTATAAACATTTAAATCTCCAAACACCACATAAACTTAAATTATTTCCACATTACACGACACTTAAATCTCAGATTCTCATCCTTAAATGTACAATTATTTGACTCAAATGGGGTTAAATATATGTTCAGACCACTCTTTTGTTAGCTTGTTTCTCTTTCTTTAGAAATAATTTTTCTATATAATTCAAATAAAATGCAATTAGTTACATCTGCAAGGTGATAAAATGTTGAGGCACTATGAGTCTTACTTGCACTTTTAGATTCATGTAAAATTTAAGCCCAATTCTTTCTGAAAAACAAAGGTCAAAATTATTGATAAAAAAATTCTCAACATCAACGAACACCATTGGAAACATAGATTTATTATTATTAGTCAGCAGCATAGATAAGCAATCAATGCTCTCTCTTTTTTAAATGTTGACAAATAAGTCAAAATCTGAAAGGTAAAAAAATAAATAAAAGTTACATCTCAATAGATATAATATATATGTATATATTAATATAGTGTATAGCACTGGATGTTTTCATGGAAAACTTTCAACATTTCAACGATGAGGTCAAAGCACAGCTGATGACATTGAGGTATGGATGAATATGTAAATGCATACAGCGATCAATACACTTTTGGCACAAAAAACACCATACAGATACATCAAATTGCACAGTACACTTTAGATCTATTAACAGATCATGAATACCTATAGATAAGCTTTGAAAATTATTTGGATTTTCTCTGCATGCGTTTTTGAAACCAAATCGTCAGTCCCTCTTGTTGAATTAACAGCCATGCTTTTAGCTACATCACTCTGTTGGCTAAGTATCAGGACAAAGTTACATACTCAGTCAAACACAAGACAATTCATTTAGGTATTCCTTGAACAGTTACAGCATATCTGGGCATATGTTGTTGATTTCATTTTAAAGTCAGGTACCTGCAAACCAAAAAAACAAACAAACAAAAAAAAAAAAACAGATCAGGCAGATCTCTTCCCTCTCCGTGGATTATAAGGCGAGAAGCGTTGGCGAGTTCAGAATATCAACGGATTCAGCCTTGCTCAGACCACCTTTAAGGCCGTCCAGTTCCTCCTCCGCGAGAGAGTCCAGCTCGGGACACGCAAACGTGAACACAGACAGGTAGCTGCTGCAGGTGGGGGTGGAGGTCACCACCGGAGTGCTGAGAGGCTCCAGGTCACAGGAGACAGACTTATACAGGGTCTCCCAGTCCGAGACGCCGAGGGAGCTGCTCAGGTCTATGTCTGGCACTGATCGAGCCGTCTCCATGGGGATCCTGTCCTCCAGACTGGGTAGGATATTGTCTAGTAGCCCCTCCTTAATGTCCAGGGAGGGCTCCAGATCAGAGATGTTGATTTCAGCGTTGGCACACAGCAAGATATTGGAGTTCCCAGAGATGGCTGTGGACGGATCACTGGGGATGTCCATGTCCTGGAGTGAAGGAGCTTCCTGGATGCCTTCATCCTGAAGCCTGTCCTCATCCGGACTGGGCGGCAGCTCTGGGGAACTCACCGAAGCCTGTAAAATGGACTCCAGCTCCTCTGGGATCTGGCATACTGATTTATGTGTGGCGAGGATGAACTCGAGGCGCTCTTTCTCTTTGAGCAGGTTGGCTATTTCTGTCTCCAGGGCTGCTTTTTCCTCCTCCAGCTTGTCAGTCTCCTTCAGAAAGATCGACATCCAAAATCATCCACGTGGACAAACGCGCAGCAGTAAGTGCAAATGACAGCTGAGTAAATGCCTCACTGTTTACTTACAGCTTGCAGCGTATCTGTGAGCTCCCTCCGTCTGTTGCGACACTTTGCTGCAGCCATTTTATTCCTCTCCCGTCTTATCCGCTTCTTTTCCTCCTCCTCTGGAGACAGCTGGGGAAGGAAAGAAATGATTCAGTTACTGCCTGCATCTCCTCATCCACTCCATCCATTCTCAGTTAAAGCTGTGGTGGGGAAAAAAAAAAAAAAAAAAGCAAAGAAAAATGGGCGAAAGCATGTTTCGCTGCAATGCGTCTAAAAATAGATCATTGTTGCAGACTTGCTGTGACCTGAATTTAAATTGACATCCTAAGGAAGGCACACAGCTGTCGAGGAGTGCGCACACAACAGCACTGATGAGCACAAGGAACTCATCATCATGTATAATTCACATTTCTGCCTCTCTCTGTTGGACTGCAGATTGGCTTAATCTGAGCTACTCTCACCTGCTCCGTTTTCCCCTTTCTGGCAGCATTTTTTCCCTTGCTCCCGCCTGCTTTGGGTGTTGCCTGGTGAGAACTTTGCGGTTCATTGGCTTGCTTGCTGCCCAGAGACGGGGAGACAGATGTAATAATCGTAGGCTGGACCATCCACTGGAAATCTGGGGTGGAGGATATTGCTGTAACTGTTGGAACAAATGGATTGTCCTGAGCACTCATATCCTGGCTGACCTCCTGAAAAACATGAAATTGACAAAGGATTACTGATGTCTCTTCTCTCTCTTTTTTTTTAAATTATCTTATTGTCACCAATAAAACCTACAATATGATCAGAAGACACAGGGTGCCCTGGATGTTGTATTGTTTTGACATATCCCTCACCAGAAATAGCCTTCTCCGGATCAATATTTGACTTTATCATTGTTCCTGACGTCAACACTGACGCAGAGCTGCTGAGGAGTCTCCTGAATGGATTTATTTTTTTTCTCAATGAACCGCTGCATCGACACGCTCACAATTGGTCCCAGGACGTCGGAACCACAACAACAACGCGCCATATACAGCCGAATCATCTTCGGCACATGGATCCGTTTCCATCAATGCGTCAAAAATATACTGCTGAAATTTTTTTTTAGCGCATCCAAATTAATTAAAAATCCCATCAATCACCTCCCCTCCCCAACCACCATCTCGAAGATTAAAAAAAAAAATTAAGCATCAGCGCGCCGCTGCTTGTTTTGTTTTTCTGTTTTTTTTTTTTTTATGTGGATCTCATTAAAATCGGTTTTATATGCTTGTAAAAGCGCCTCCTCCTCCTCCTCCTGCCGCTATAAAACAGTGATGTACATGATCAACAAAGCCATTCATACCTTGGCTCCGCTCTCCGAGGAAGACGCTGGAGAGCTCGCCTCTTCTGGCGTCTTCTGGCAGAGCGTCCCGACAGGAGAGACTGTCCGCAAGGTTGGAGAGACTGCATCCATATCAGGCGTCTGGTTGTTTTTATACATCAGAGTGAATAAACAAAAAATAAAACACAACAACACGAGTCCTGCTCAATGACAAATATACATATATATATAAATGTATATATAGAACTTCCGCTGGGCAGAGAGCGTGTCTTTTCTCCAGGTATATACCTGGTAACTGGATGACTTGAATGCAAGCCCCTCCTATTAAGCCCTGCTAGAATTTTATGAATGAACCAGGACTGTACCATCGAGGGGAGGGGGGAGAGGCGGACTCAAACACACAGGCCTACATGCTCGGGAAAAAAAGGAGCATCACTGTGACATTTAGCAGACGGCAAAGGCAAATGCGAATTCATTGCGAAAATAATTATAATATCGGCCATATGCAGTTAGAGACGTGATTCCACCAATAATTCCCACGCAGTGAAGGGTGCGTGCATTCATTTAATTGCATGTTTTGCAGAGACCGAGTGGATCAGATGCAGCCAGATGATGTACTTTTGCACAATTTTCCAAAAATATATATTCATTTCTTAGCGGCAGAAATCATGCACGTCATCGATAAAATTACACGATTCTGTGTCGCCTCTTTCGTCTTTCTAAAATAGTACATACTTTTAAGAATTTTTTTTTTTTTAAATGCAATGTCTTGTTTACATCGCAGATAAAATGAAAACAATAGATGAGATCGGTGTTAAGGACAGACCGACTCTACCAATCCCAGACACCTTTTTACCCCTGACCGCCTATCAGCAAAGCGTCATGCCCACTTTGTCCAAATTACCGATCCAATCTAGCAGGGACCTTAGACTTTTTGTGTGGGGGAGAGGGGGCTGTGAAGTCATGTGACATGACCCGGAACTGAGGAGGAGGATTTAGAAGTGGAGAATCTCTTGGAGC